GCCTTTTTACGGTGTTGGGAACTAAAGGATATTGCGTTGTGTATATACGTGATCATTTTATAAATAAATAAAAAAAAAACCTTAAACTTTGAACTTTGTTAGTACGTCATCTCATAGGCCTGGCTATACTTATTTTACTTTGTGGTAAATATTGTTATAGGTGTTTAGAAAATGTAGGAGAATATAAAATTATTCCTTCTCTGAAGGAGATGGAAATCCATCCTCTGAAGGAGATTGTGATTCCACCTCTGTAGGAGATGGTGATTCCACCTCTGAAGGAGATGGTTATCCCACTTCTGATAAATACTATAGGACGATATTTGTAATTTAAAAATATCTATTATAAATTTGGGCGGTAATATTTAGTTATTTAATCTATGTCAGGAAAAACTAGAAATTAATTCAATAAACGATTTAATAACTTTAAATTGAAATATAAAATATAGAACAAAATCAGATTATTTAGAAATAAGTATTAAATGAAAAAAGAATAAAATGCAAATAAAATAATAATAAAATAAAATAGATAAAATACTTAATGCACGTATGAGATGGCGTACCTGAAATAAAAGAAAACAAGTATGAGTAATCAAGTTTACCAAAAACAGCTTTACATTAAAGAAAGTCATGAAAAGGTGATATCCATAAATAAAATACTTATTATTCTTTTAATTAACAAGAAAATTATACATGATAAATATGTCAAAATATTGATTATAAAAAAAAATATAATTGACACAACTTCAAATTTTCCATAATTGACAAAAAGTTATATTCTCAATTCTGTAGGCACTGACCGCAATGCCCAAACATCGATCGATATATAAAAAGCCATTACTAGAACACTGACGGCAATGTCACTAGCCCGCACCAACCATGGTGCGACGACTCCGGGAATAATCCCTAAATAAACGCAAACACTGACCACAATGTACTACGCCAGAACAGACAATCTAACTCACTTTACTTTTGATTACACCTCGTAGAGGAAAACAAAACTTAAGTAAATAGTCAAATTCAAATAAGTTTTAATTATTTAATATAACCCCGTTAATTTAGGATATAAGGTTTTCTCAATACTTGACAAAATATCTTTACGTCAGAATTGACAAATTAACTATAAAAGGTTAATGGATAATAATTGGGTAATATAATTTGCAAAATAACTTGATTACAAATTAAAACAAAACTAATTGATAAAACATAATTACTCAGTGAGAAAAACTCACCCTGTTCAGCAAACAGCCACTCACAAAAATTATTATTCACTAGTTTTTTTTTTTATTATTATTATTGGAACGAACTTTAATTTTGTTCCGTAAAGTAACTAACTCAAATTCAGAATGATCTGTATTTTATGCCTGTTTCGATATTTTACCCTTAGTTCCCATATTCGTAATCCGATATCTCCATATCTTAATGGTGTTAATGTAAACATAGTCTGTAGCTATTTTGGAAGACAAATATTTTGTGCGTTTAAAAAGAACCGGGTGTTTCGTAAAATAAAACTTAATAATATTGTATAGAAAATAAAATCATTCTTACATTTTAAGTTTATTAAATACTAGAATTATATTGTTACAATAGTAGTGGATTCAGAGGCGGGTCCAAGAGAAAACCAATTACGTCGGCGAAAGCCCTTATCAAAGGATGAAAAGAACATTATATGGAAAGTGTATGATGGGCTGAAACAGACACTTCCTACAAATGAAGCTGTAAACCGCAGTTCTTTTTTAACTTGAGTATCTGTTTCAACAATTGAACGTTTTGTACGCGAAAAGACAAAAAAGGCTCCTTAGAAGCCCCTAAAACGCATACCTGTGGTCGAAAATTGTTGAAATTGGACGATAACTAAAAACAAATCATTCGAAGAACTGTACATTCTTGTTTTTCTCGAAAACAAAGCCCCAACACTTAAAGTTGTTCTTACGAAATTAAGAGAAAACGAAGAAATTCCATTAATGAGCCGTGAAACTTTACGAAAAATTTTATGGGGCCTAAAATTTCGTTTTGTCAAACGGTGTAGGAAATCAATTTTAATTGAGAGGTCAGATGTAGTGTCCTGGCGACGGCGTTATTTACGAACTATTAAAGAGTATAGAGCCGCTAAAAAAAAGATATACTATCTCGATGAAACATGGGTGAATGCTGGACACACGGTATCTAAGATATGGCAAGATACTTCTGTAACTAGTCATCGCCAAGCTTTTATAGAGGGATTATCTATAGGTTTGAAAGCACCATCAGGTAAAAGACAGCGCCTAATTGTTACCCATATCAAAAGTGACAGTGGATTTTTGGAAAATAGCGCTCTTGTGTTTATATCGAAAAAAACAGGAGACTACCACGAGGACATGAATGCGGAATGCTTTGAAAAATGGTTTACTGAAGTATTACAGCGTGTAGAACGAAATTCAGTTATTGTACTAGATAACGCTTCTTATCACAGTCGACGAGTTGAACGCATTCCGATAATGTCCAGTAGGAAAGCGGATATGCAAACCTGGCTGCGGGATAAAGCAATAACATTTACTGAGGATATGCTTAAAGTGGAATTAATGGACCTAATAAAGGAACACCGCCCTAAATATATTCAATATGTTGTCGACACAATGGCTCGTGATCGTGGTATTACGGTACTAAGACTTCCCCCTTATCACTGCGAATTCAAACCTATTGAACTAATTTGGGCGGAAGTGAAAGGGTTTGTAGCTCGAGAAAATAAAACTTTTAAAATAGCCAACGTTCAAAGTTTATTAAAAACCGGTATAGAACGTATAAAACCTGAAGCTTGGCAGAATGCTATTTCCCATGTAATTAAGGGAAAAAATAATATGTGGCGCTTGGACGGTATGATCGAAACGGTAGATGAACCTTTAGTCATAACTTTAAGTTCCGACGATAAAGACGATTCCAGTGATAGTTCTGCAGAATCAATGGATTACGAAACTTCATAGATTTAGAATTTAAGTAAGTGATACCGAGCTTAAGTTACATATTTTTATAATAAACAAAATACAATTATAAACATAGATGAATTATTATAACAAAAATAGATAACCAACCTACTTTCATCTAGTAATATTCACAAATACCCAATTAATTTTCCAATATAATATTTCTGCGACACTGAAAGAGTGCATTTTGATATGATAACGATACATTTTGCAGTTTTAAGGCGCACCTTCTTCAATATTTTGTTCTAGTGTTAGCAAAAAGAGATTACACTCAATCGAAGATATAATTATATTCTCAATTGAATACACTAAAAAAATTATTAAACAGTAAGGCACGAAAATGATAAACAAAAATACAGGCAGCCATTTTACACGAGCGCACGTATGTGAATACCCATTCCTTACGAACGACCGCAGGCGGCCTCAGGATACAGCGTTGTCAGAGTTGCTTTAAATAATTTCTAACACTAGTATAATACCCCATTTAATTTTCCAATAGTGTTTCTACGCCACTGGCATATTTACATATTTTAACAATAACAAAAACAAAATTATAAACATACATGATTATTACTACAGAAATAGATAACCAACCTACTTTCATGTAATATTATTTACTATTAGCACATTTAATTTACCAATAGTTTTTATACGCCACTGGCGTAATTCATTTCGGCAATAAACATGCATTTATGACTAGTTGGCACGTGATACCGATAAGTTCTGCAGTTTTAAGCGCGTGATTCCATTCATTATGCTCTGGTATAGTATTATGGTTGTACGTGATCAAGGAGGAATCGCCTTCTTCAATATTTTGTCCGAGTATAGTCTACGAGCTACATCATTACTCTCCACTGCTTTTAGCTGATTGGAAGGCAACCCTTCTTTCTGCAACCCTTGTTTTTCACTCGCGAAAGCCCTTTTAAAATAAATTGTTATATATTTATTTATTTATTTGCGAACATGCTATAAACCACACCATTTCTTTAAACAAATCGCAGGACATACTCTTAGACTCGACACGACAAGATATTTTTCAAGTTGAGAAACATTTGAACCTCCACAGAGCGAGGTCCCGTAATATGAACGAGTTACACAAAACGGAATTTCGTAACGTGTTACATACAATATTTTTTCTAATTTTGACTAGATTATTTAAAAAATTGTGTTTTGGTAAAAATTACTACACCTATGCAACCAATATTACTTTCTTGTACTGTTAGATGCGTCCAATTTTTTAAAAAATATTAACTTCGGGGGCCAAAGCTTTTAATTTTTTTTTAATTTTTGCTTCTGATGGTGGTAAAAAGATACTGGGTGGTCAAACAAGGTGAATCGGTGTCAAACGCATCCCGTTTTATAAACTAAAACTTCAGAATTTAGGGGGCCAGCTTCAGTCCGCTACACAACGGTCCTCCGTTCATCTACAATGTGGTAAGATTTTCAGTATATGTACTTGGAACGACTGCGGTTTAACGTCGTAAACGTGTGGGTATAGCACAAGTAGAAGTTGGAAAGGTTTTTGGTAGGTAAACGTCAAACCACGTCGGACGGCTTCGAGAATTTCGCAGTAATGTTTACCTGCCAGTGTCGTTTCATAGAATAAGTAATTTTAAATTGTTACCAGCGGAACCGGACAATCGCATTTATTTATGAACTATAAATTTATTAAACATGTATTATAATATTAAAATCATAATTAGTAAAATTTCAACAGCTATTCACAGTTTATTAAACTATTTACTCGAAATTGTTATTAACATCTATAAAATAATTTTGTACGCCAATGTATCGCGTCCATTTCGGTGAGATCCGCCGCAAACCTGTCAATTTATGTGTATAAAGTAGGAGAACTGGCAAAAGCCTTTCCAACTTCTACTTTTGCATCTGGTGCATGGTCGAGTCGTTGAGTCGGTGGCCCGACAGACCTTAGATTGCAGGTTCGAATCATGTCGTCGAGAATTTTATTTTCCCCCAGTTGTTTTTAATGACGACCAATTTTTCATTTCAAAATTCTATGTAAATAATAATTGCTTTTTTTAGCTCTGTCCAAAACGATTTTTTAGAGCCGACGCTCTCAATAATCATCGGAGAATTCACACTGATGAACGCCCTTATCCCTGCCATGTTTGTCATAGGGAATTTAGACAGAAAGGGGATCGCAATAAGCACCTTAGAACTCAGCACCCAGATACTATGGTCGTTTGAATAATTATTATTATTCTTTTGAAATATTTCAGTGTTGTTTTAACTATTAGTTTGTTACTTTATTTCCATTTTGTTTACTTAAAAATAAGTAATAATTATGACTAAGTATGATTATGATACGAATTTTTATGAAGAATGTTTTATAAAAAAAATATTAAATATAATTTTTAGTTAAATTTTATTATGAACGTTAATCACTATAATTACATAGGTATATTTTAAGTTTGTGTTTAAATAAATGTCTTTGAAAATTTTAAATAAATGTCTTTGAAAATTTTAAATAAATGTCTTAGAAAATTTTATTATTTTACATTCATATTTTTGGACGTGATGTCTCTTTTCTACTCATGCGCTGCTTCGGCCTCTCCGTGTTTTAAATGATTATTTATCCTGTATGTATTTGTTTAGTATTGATTGAATCTGGAATTCTGTTCTGGCAAAATTGATGATTTCCAATTACCTATATGTGAAATTGGAAATTTCATGAAAACATTTGAGGTGATGAAAGAAGAAAATGAGGCTTTGAAGAAGCGCGTTACTTCCTTAGAATCCCGACTTAATGATTTTGAACAATATTCAAGACCGAATAATATTGAAATTCAAGGTGTTCCTGAAAGAAAAGATGAAAATATTAACAATATCGTGAACAAAGTGGTGGATGCTCTGGGAGAGGATACAACTGGAAAAGTTGCTGCTGCCCACAGGGTATACACTGCTAAAAATAATACAAATGTACCCAAAAATATATAGTCGAGGCAATGAAGCACTAAAAAGGCCAAAGTTCCTGGGTTTTTTCGTGCAAGTCGGATCGGAATGCGGTTTTTTGCATTCACTTGCAAAAATTATTTGTATCATTCCCCGTAATTTCCGGGTCATACAAACCGGAAATTGCATTGCTGCAGCCAAAAATGCATTCAAAAAATGCATTATTTGAGAGGCCTCTTGGATGATTTCAAAACTTGTTAAATAAGTGTCAGAACTAGTCCAGATCGGGTGATCGGGGGTTTTCGAGATCGCTGATCACGATTATGATGTCTAAATACTCTAAATTGACCCACAGCCGACCTGGAGCTCAGGAACGTCGACGAACGTCATCTTCGTGGGACTCTCCCAAAATTCACGCGGGGAAGGAGGGCAACTAGGCGATCGGGGTTTTTTTGGGTCGCTGAATCCAAATATGGCATCGGCGATTACCTCCCGGACACCTGGTGCGCCCAAACCTCGACCTGGACGTCATCTCCGAGAATTTTCCTCACAATATCGACAATAACAACCCGAAAATGATTGAGCGGAGTTTTTTGGGGCGCTGAATCTAAATTTCACGTCGAAAACGACCCCCTGAACACGTGTTGCATCGGAACTTGGCCCTGAACGTCATCCCCGAGGGGTTTCCAAACACAATTGAAAAAGACGAACCGAAAATCGTTCCGAGGGTTTTTTTGGGTCGCTGAATCGGAATTTCACGTGGAAAACGACCACCGGAACACCTGGTGTGCTCTAACCTGGCCCTGAACTTCTTCACCGAGGTTTTTCAGACCCAATTGAAAAAGACGAACTAAAAATCGTTAAAGGGGGGTTTTTGGGTCGCTGAATTCAAATATGGCATCGGCGAACACCCCACGGACACCTGGTGCGTCCGAATCTGGACCTGGAGGTCATCTCCGAGAATCGAAAAAGACGTCCAGGTCGAGGTTTGGGCGCACCAGGTGTCCGGGGGGTATTCGCCGATGCCATATTTGGATTCAGCGACCCATAAAAACCCCGATCGCCTAGTTGCACTCCTTCCCTGCGTGAATTTTGGGAGAGTCCCACGAAGATGACGTTCATCGACGTTCCTGAGCTCCAGGTCGGCTGTGGGTCAATTTAGACATCATAATCGTGATCAGCGACCTCGAATACTCCCGAGCACCCGATCTGGGCTAGTTCTGACACTTATTTAACAAGTTTTGAAATCATCCAAGAGGCCTCTCAAATAATGCATTTTTTGAATGCATTTTTGGCTGCAGCAATGCAATTTCCGGTTTGTATGACCCGGAAATTACGGGGAAATGATACAAATAATTTTTGCAAGCGAATGCAAAAAACCGCATTCCGATCCGACTTGCACGGAAAAACCCAGGAACTTTTTGCTTCATTGCTTCGACTAATAGTTGTTGAATTTGATTCACGCCAATTCCGCGACATAGTTTTAGCTTTGGCTAAACAGAAGAAACGTACGTCAAACGGTCCAGGGCTAAAGATCGACGATGTTGGAGCTACTGTTTTTATTAATGAGCATCTTACTCCCGCCAACAAAACTTTGTTCAGAGAAGCTCGTCAATGGTCTAAAGATAATGATTTTAAATATGTAAGTATGGGTCGAAAACGGAAACATATTAATGCGTAAAGATGATTCTTCCAGAATCAAACTTATTCCTAATTTAGATTCCCTTGAGTAATTCTCAATATCAAATAATATTTAAATATTAACTATGCAAACCAATGGATAAATTACTAGTTTATAGCCGAAATATCAATGGATTGAGGACTAAAACGAAAAACTTTTACATTAATACTTTCAACTACGGAGATGATTTGTATCTCATAACCGAAACTTATCTCAACAATGGGGTGAACAACGCCGAGATTCTCGACATCTCAATCTACATCTTTCGCAGAGATCGTGAAAGCTCTGCAAACAAGAAAAAAGTTGGTGGGGTTGTTGATTTTGTGTTACTCAACAATCGAATTGGCAGTGTGACGCTCAAGATCTATAGATTACGATTAAAGGAGAGTGGGCAGTAATTATCCTTCCTCCATGGTGGGCAGTTTTGCCCCACCTCTCAATAGGAGTAAGATATATGCCAAATGAAAAATATCGCTAAGGAGAACATTTGTTTCTATTATGACTTCTCTCAATTGTCTGTCCGTTCCCAGTTATACAGTGTGTCTACTTAAGTTACCTAAACAAAAACTCAAATCTCGAATTTAAAAAATGCATAGTTGCCAAATTATAGATGGTATAATCTAACTTTCATTTATCTGAAAGGCATTTATATGCAAGTCACGTATTACCTTGCATGAGAATTGCCTTCTACCTGTTACTTTCATTTTATATTGATATTATATTGTACTAAGTAATTAAAATGGTTGTAATGTTTTAAATTTTTCAATAATAATACTTTTTAGATAGAAACTTGTTAGCGCACTGTAAAGTCCAAAATATTTTTTAATTATAGCTTCAATACATATTCATCTTTCTGTATAAAAGTAATTTAAAAAATATCATATGTCATAGTCTGGACCTACATGTATATAATGCCCCATCCCGTATGTGTTACAAATGGCTTTTTATTCATTCTAATGTAAATTGGGTAATAATATTTATTTATGATTGTATTATTGTTTGTCCATTACCTTGGTCTCGAACCATTGGCCCTTTGGAGAGCATACGTAGGGCCTTGTAACCAACACGTAGAGGCCCTTTGGTAAGGGATACACGTGACGGATAACATTCTCGACAGCATCATAGGATATTCCCGGATATTATAATTCTTTTTATATTACTGAGAAGTAAGAATTACTATTATTTTCCTGTAATAAGTACTACAATATCAGAATATAAGCAATGGCCTATCGTGAAATTAGTTACATTTAGGATGATATAACTCGGAACGGACAAGTAACTGAGATGAGTCGTAATAAAGAGAAATGTTCTCCTTAAAAATATCTTTCAATTGGTATATAACTTATTCTTATTGGGGATGGGGCAATTACTGAGGCCCTTCCTATGGGGCCTCAGTATTGCATTCGTGCAGACGAAAAAAATTTCTTACCCCATTTTTTAAAACTTTTTTTTCATGTTTCCGATTTCATGAGTCCGAAAATGCAAAAAAAAATTTTTCGTCTGGTCGTCTGTGTGTATGTATGCCGACACGATAACTCTAGAACGAAAGTTCTGATTGATTTGCGATTTTGATTTTCTTGAATAATTACTTCTAACTTAGAACCCTATTTATTTTCAGAATTTTTGGTTCATCCTAACTACTTTAATATCATTTTTCTTAAAATCCGCCTATGCATTTCTTGTGTGACAATTTTAGGAATTTCAATTATTTTTAACGTCAACATTCCTAACATTCTTTACATTCCATAAATTCGTTCTCTAACGGAAATGTCGGTTTAGTCGTTTTAACCTGTCACAATTAAAACAAGAAAACCGACAATTCCGAAGCAGAAGCGGATGATTAAAACGCACATATTAAAAATATTGCGCCAAGATGTAGGCAACACGTAATAAAGGATCAAAATGGCGGAGTTTGCTATCTCCTTTTAAAAGGCACTAAGAAAGCTGCGCAGTGCGACCATTCTCCGTATAATAAAAGAAAATCAAAGTATGTGGTCACAGTCCTCAAGAAGTTTGTAACATATTTTCGTCTTTTTTTAGATCTGTTTATGAGCCCTAGCGTCAACTTTCAGATACATCCAGTAATCATGACTCTGACCTCAGAGTAGTACAGAGAGGACAGTAAACAATGTTTGTGTCGCCTTGATAATATCGCATGAAAGATTCTAATTAGAGAGAAATAGATTAATATCTCTATCTCTATATTTATTTTTCCAGTTATTGTTAGACAATTTCTTAAGTTTTTTTCTTAAATTCGTTCAAGTATGGTGGTGTTAAAAGTGACTTTGATTTGTAGGGTTTATTTTATACTAGGAAAAGACTTGTGTTTTATGTGTTTTCAAATATAAAAGAGGAAGTGAGGTTACGTTTCACTCGTTAATATTATTTCTTACTGAAGAACATGGGCGTCGTTTTAGGAGAAAAAAGGAAAATAAAATATGCATATTAAAAAAAGTAAAATTATTATTAGTGTTCTAAAATACGAATTAGAAGAAACTTATGGTTAGAGGCACTTGAATGGACTGAAATGTCAAGCAATTTTAAAAATTGTATCTTTACTTTTTAGAAACTTTGTATTACACAAACAAAGCAGGAAGTAAAAAGTAATTTGGCGAACTAGTAATATGTTTGAATATTTTTAGTATAGTAATTTCTTCAGATACTAAATTATTTGATTATGGGCCTTTTTTAAGAGTATTAAACTTGCCAACAAATAAAAGAAGTTATAGTTTGAACAAAAGTACCTCATACACTTCAATATTAAGTTCGAGGTATGAATCTGAAATTCTCATTAACAAAATTTGAGTTACCATTAATTAAGAATTAAATCAAACATTGGATTTGATCTAAGCTGATACATTAAATTGTATATAAATACTTATTTCAGAAAACCTAGATATTTTGGTAACTTTACATTGAAGTTTCTAGAAAATCGATTATTACGAAGACTTTTTTGTTGCCAACAGTACTGCTTCAAACTTACAAAACAGAAATAAAACGTTACAGACACAATTAAGATGAGTGAAAAAGTATGTGCAATATCAAAAAAGTTATTAGTTTTTGGACGCATACTGTATATTTGTACATGGTCTAAAATATAAACTATCATCAGTAATATAAGAATATTTAGTTACCTAAAAATAAATAAAGTAACTAGATAATTTATAATTTAAACGAAGTCAATAGAAAAGAAAATTAAATTCCTATATATTTTTTTAATATCCTGAAATATTCTACTTATGCTAAATAGGTAAATATATATTGGTTTGTTTTATTTTTATTAGGAATATTTTGTCATGTTTAAATTAAATGCTTTATGTATTTCCTCAGTTCTACCATTGTATAGCTTTGCAACAGATATTTTATAGAATTCCAAATCCTTGCTGCAATTCTAAATGTTTTAGAAGCAATAAAATATTTCTTATATTTTTTGACATGACAATAATGTCATATTTTGTTTTCAGTTCAATAAAAACGTACCTATCTTTTAAAACATTATTTTGTACTTTTTTAATCTATTTGCAGTCACTATTTTTACATTTAAAATAACCCAATATAATCCGTTTACGTACGCTACTGCTGAAGATTCTAATATGAGCGAGAAAGCCTGCATTAGAAAAAGAAACAATGATGTTATTAGAGCTACATCAACATTGTATAGATTTATACAGGGGTAGCCTATCTGTACATATATTGGGTCCTATGATTGAACGTTTACGTTATCCGTAACGTACATGTTAGGCTGAGTTTTAACAGTAATGAGGCAAGTTCGTGAGATGGAAAACTTTTTCCAACACATTACTGTTATTTTCCGCCTGTTATGTTCTAATTTAACAGTTTTCCATCAACCGAACTTGCCTCGTTATTTTTAAAATATGTACGTTACGGATAACGTAAACGTTCAATCATAGCACCCATAATCTAAGACTCTGACGAAATGTTAGTAAATAGCATTTATTTAACGGAGAAAATGCTACTTGATAAACTCAATTCTCTAAAGGAGAACAAAGGGGCCGGTTTCGATGATTATCCTTCATCATTTATGAAAAAATGCGCGCAATCACTTTACAAACCTTTATATTTCGTTTTTAAAAATCTATAGTCTGGAATTTTTCCTAAACTGTGGAAGACAGCCCTCTTAATTCCTATTTATAAAAACAATGGTGATATGGACCAAACTAACAATTATTGGGGAATTAGTAAACTTTGCACTTTTAGTAAATTCAAAATTCTAAAAAATAAAATAATTGATGAACAGCATGGCTTTTACCTTAATATAAATATGAAACTATTTTGGCTATTTATTCAGAATACATTTCAGAAGGCATGGACTCTAGAGTTCAAGTCGATGCTCTGTACACTGATTTCAGCAAAGCCTTCGACAAAGTAAATCACAATATTCTGATTTCAAAATTAGCCAGAATTGGTGTAAATGGATCGCTGCTGAGTTGGTTCGCCTCTTATGTATTTATTAGAATCCAAATTGTAGAGGTTAATGGTTTCAAGGCTGATGCATTCACAGTTACCTCTGGGGTACCACAGGGATCACACTTGGGACCACTGCTGTTTATAATATTTATAAACGACTTTAAAAAATGCTTCAAATCTTAAAATTTTCTTCTCTATGCAGATGATCTGAAAATAATTAATAGATTGGAAACAGTAAGGGGTTGTTTAAAACTACAGAAGGATATTAACAACTTCACTAACTATTGTTCCGAGTATAAACTTCAATATAGCGATCACACGTTCAAATTTTGTAAAAGACTTAGGAGTGGTTTTCGACAGTAAGCCGAGTTTCAACTTCACTTCACATAGATTATTTACTGAACAAGTGCTCTAGAATGATAGGCTTCGTAAAGAGAACATGTCGAAATGTACGATTTAAATCGTATTTATACGATTTTTTTAACTCTCTGTACGATGTACGATTGCATCAGTGAGATCGTACGTAAAAATATGTACTTCACTTTTTTAGTAGGTTTATTTGCAACAACTTCAGAACATAAAACAATAAAAATCAGAAACTACTTGCAAATATTCATAGGCCGTTCATAATTTCTGAAGGCAGTCATTTTCGTTCTCACTTATCGTGATTTTGATCATGATGATTTTGTACCAACACCGGCATAAGAAAAGCTTGCTTGCAAAATTTCAGTCACTTTCAAGTGACAGTCATTGATTACTTTAAATGTGTTAATTTAAAGTTTCATGTATTTTCTTTAGTTTTTTTCGTTGTAAACATTTTTATAAATAGATAAATAAATGATCAAGCTAAAGTTTTTTTTTATTTTTTCATTCCATTTAAGTTATATTATGCTATACATGTATCTATTGTACAATTTTTTTTGTCGAAATACCATTTTTCTACTCTATTTGTACGATCTCTCAAAAAATATTTGGCTACACTAGTCTGTCTACAAACGACGTATACTTGTAGTTAACATCTGAGACGCATAGATGACGCCATTGTTGCTGCGGTCGTTGCGTTTCCTATTTTTATGTTCCTAATCTCTGGGATTGAGTTGAGCTCTTAGAGTTGAGCTTATTGACACTTTTGGATACTATGGATTGAGTTGAGCTCTTAGAGTTGAGCTTATTGACACTTTTGGATACTAGGTTAAGTTCAATGACATACCAAAGTTTCAGAAAATTTAACCGGTCGTTACTTTACATAAGGAAAGTGCGGAAATCCTTTGGGTAATGGATATGCAAGTTTCACACCTACAGATGAAATGAAATTCACGACATGTTTAAAAATGTATAGACAAAAACAATTGGAAGATCAAAATCAGAAAGAATTACAAGAAGAAAAAAATACTTTTGAAACAAGAAAAGGTGAAGTGTTATTTTTTTATATGTTTATTCAATAAAATTATTATCAAATTACCCCAATCTTAACCCCATAAACTCTTAAATTAACCAGTCTTCGATAACGTAACGCTAGTAAGGTCAGTTTGTACGATAAAATCATGAAAAAAACGATAATTTCTACACCATGGTAAAACAGAAGTAAAAGTTGGAAATGCTTTTGCCAGTTCTCCCACTTTATACACATAAATTGACAGGTTGTCAGCGGATCTCACCGAAGTAGACACGATACATTGGCGTACAAAATTATTTTATAGATGTTAATAACAATTTCGAGTAAATAGTTTAATAAATTGTGAATAGCTGTTGAAATTTTGTAAAATTATAATTTGAATATTATAATACATGTTTAATAATTATTTATAATCCATAAATACATGATTGTCCGGTTCCGCCGATAACAATTTAAAATTACTTATTCTATGAAACGCCACTGACAGGTAAACATTACTGTGAAATTCTCGGAGCCGCCCGACGTGGTTTGACGTTTACCCCCTCTCTACCTACCAAAAGACTTTTCAACTTTTGCTTTCTCTATACAACAAATTGATTTTGGTCATTTGGCAACACTGGTGATGGAACACTCGTGTAAGAGCACTCTCCCATAGATAAATTAGTTTATCTATGCACTCTCCTCAGTTTGAGAATAGGCTACCGGGTACTAAACACAAGACTTTTACACTGTCAGACTAACGCGAAATTTTTCACCACATACTATGACTTCGTTTCAGACTTAGATAACTACAATTTTAGAAACTGAACTACACGGCGGCAAATCAGACTCGCTTAGAATATGTTTTTTCAATGTAAACGGGATGCTTAACAAAAAAAACCCATGGTAAGCAGTTTCATTCACAAACATAGGTTTGATATTATACTTATTTCAGAGACTAACAAACCCGCTCACAAACTCAAAATTAAAGACTATCACGTAATACGACAGGACAAATTGACTCACAGAGGGGGGGATAGCTTTCATTATCAAAAATTCTCTTACTTTCGAATTACAGAATAACCTTGATGTGTCATTCGAACACATTATCATTAAAACGCAAAACATCATAATTGTTGGAGCATACAATCACCCATGTAACAACCTTACGGTACTACTCTTGAACTGCACTCATTAATGGCGGTGGGTAACAGAGTCCTTCTCATGGGCGATCTCAATGACAAACAGTTTGATTAAAATATCTTAAGTGGTTTTGGAAATATTTAAACAATTGTATTTTTTTTATGAAACTTTCACACTTTGTATTTCCGTAACGAAGCATTTTTGAGACATAGTGTATATGACAAAATATCTTTATTTTAGCTCCAGAATACGCTCCTGAAGCTATGGTCCGTACTTATCGAACACCCTAGAAAAAAAAAAACCGTTTTTAACATATATTTTGCTTTTTTCTTGCCTAGGCTGGAAACCCATCCTCGTAAGTTGAATATTTTTTAATAGACTTTTGTGACAGAAAAGAGAAATAAAAATAGTATGTAACTGTAAAAATAAAAGAACCATTTTAAAAATAAAAAAATATTTATTATAGTTTTTAATATGTCTTACAAGTAAAATATTTCAACGAGGTACATTATAATTACTGTTTTTGATGTATCTATAAAGTTTACTGATATTTAGCTATTGTAATATCAGGAATTATTCTAGCCTTATTTTTGTCTTGCTTTTGTGCCTTTAATTCTCTTACTAAATCGATTAATTTCATTTGAGAATTAGCCGCAAATTCATACTAGAAAAATAAAAGATAAAAATTAATTTTGCATTTAGGAATAATACGTGTATGCCATCTGACAGGAAAACGAGGCTTGAAATCATAAGATCATTGAATAAAAGATGGTTCTCTAGGAGGAAGTAAAAAGCCGATAAGTGCATTAGAAATACAAGTAGAACTAGTGTAGGCAGTGACAGCTGGTGACCAAAATATCGGGGTTCACAATGACAGAATATAGATCTAGTTCAGTAATTTTATTATCCAAGAATTATTAAACTCAAAATATTTTATATAAAATATATTTTTTATACAACCACTGAAGTCACTCACCCCATCGGGTATATAGTTCCAATGAAAGAAGACAGGATAGTAAAACTACGAAGGCGTAGAACCACCACAATTTTTTTTACAAATTACAACTTTTTTCTCGAAATTCTCACTTGTAAATCAGAATTCCGTTTAATAACTCAGAATTCTGATTTGTATCTAACTCGGATCTGATTTGTATTTCTAAATTCCGACTCGTAACTCGGAATTCCGACTTGTAACTCGGAATTCCGACTTGTAACTCGGAATTCCAACTTGTAACGCGGAGTTCCGACATACAACTCGGAATTCCGAGATACAAGACGGAATTTGTAAAGAAAAAATTATAGCAGTTTTACGCCTTCGAATAAAACTAATATGGCAGACAAAAACGGCAATAAGAATTTGGAACGAGTATGTTACTGATATACATATTAAAAAGGAAAGGATTAAGCTAAATTCAAGTGAAAAGTGATACTAGAGGTTGTAAAATTCTAAGAAACTGAATACATGGGTAGGTAGGGGAGGTCCACCAACAGTGGCCACCCTTTTTTATAAATTGGCATAAGTTCTAAACTGAGCATATTTACCACCTCCAAATTAGCTTGTAGAGGTGTCATTGATATAGAAATGCAAGTATTACCACTTTTACCCGAAAAGTTTTGTACAATTCAAGAAAAAAATTATCGAAAAAGAAAATTGTTTTTTGGCCACTGTACCATCAACTAGTATGGTACAGTGGAAAAATTTTAAAGGTACAGTGGACAGACAACTACTCCTAAAAATATTTTTTATTGGGTTAAAACATAAAACAGAAACATAGAATTCATGAAGCAGATCATAAATTCAGTCTAATATAGATTGTAATTAGTCAGGTCCGTGGAAAAGTGATGGTACCGTTGAACTCTTGCGATGCCTCCCGTCGATACCGGAGTTGGTAATGACATCACGATATCTTCAGGGGGTCAATTCTCGACTTGTAGGAACCTTTTCCTATAGGAATTTGTGACACTTTCCTACATGTAGACAAATGTCATAAATTTCCGATGTGTAGAAAAATGTCAAAAATTCCTATAGGAAAAAATTCCTACGAGTCGAGAATCGACCCCCTGGTGGGACAGTTGACTGATCTGGGATATCAGGAAGAGAAAACTTGTTTTCTCGTCTTTTTCTTAGGAAGCTGACACTATATTCTTTAAACCTGTTATTGATGTCCGTAACTTGGCCCACACAATATTTAACTTGTTTTTTTGTAGCAAATTTTACTAAGATAAAGCTTCCAACCAAAATTTCACCATCGCAATTCTGATCTCTAGGTTCTTCGGTCCAATCAATATCGTCAGAGTCCATAAGGTTCAAGCTTTCGGTATTATATTCAGTATCGCTACTATCGTCATTCCTTGGAGCTAATGTTTTTGTATTGGCCGTCTCTGTATTAAAGCTGAAAATGTTTCTTGTAGTGGACTTGTTTTTGTTTAAATTTTGTTTCCTGGATTCCTTTAAGTGCTTCTGCTCCTGGATTTCCTTCAATATCGGAGTGCTGGTCAATATTTCCGTAGTTTTTTTTTTGTCTTTTTTGTCCCATTTTTTTAATGTGATTAGTTTTTGGGTACTAAACACTTTTTGTGGTGAAGTTATCTCTTTTTGGTTTTGAAAATCTCTACAGCTTGGGCCCGCTTCTTCTAGTAGGCTATTTTGTTTTTGTGGTGTAACTTTAGCAGTGTCTTGGCTGGAATTAATTTCTTCTGGTTCATTATCTTCTTCGAGAGGTATGTCAGTAACTTGGGCGGCCAAAAAATCATCGTCAATGAAAATGTTTGAATTAAACGGGTAAATTCCCGTAGCTCTGAAACCCGATGCACAATTATTTGTGGAAAATGCGTTGCTATAGATCTGGCCTAGAATTTCAGCAATGTCATATTGCTTATGCGTTGACCAGGATGGTTCATCAACCACGAACGGCAGGCACTATAGTGCGATTTCAGCGAACCATAGACAGGTCTGTCCAGTGGCTGTAGTTTGTGGGTCGTATGAGGAGGCAAAGTAAGTAAAGTTATGTCATTTGCTCGAGCCATTTTTATTGGTGTGTAAGAAATGTGACTAATGTGGTTGTCCATTATGAGAAGAACTGGCAACTCTTGTGTTGGTTGAGTATAGGATATAAAATGCTGCAGCCACTGAACAAATATTAGCGACGTCATCCAATCCGAGGGTGATGCTACTCCTATGGTTCCATTTGGTGCACCTTTAATCATGTGATTCTTAGAGAATTTTCTCAGAAATATTAAAAACGGCGGTATATTATTGCCATCCGCATTTATTGCACCACACATTGTCACCAAGGTCCCTCTTTCAATGGACGTTATTTGACCAACTTGTCGTTGGCCTTTCATAGCAACCACTTTACCTGTCGCTTGTACTGTGGTCAGAGCCGTTTCGTCGACGTTATATATTTTATCAGACCTGAAGTGATGTTTTTCAATGACTTTTTGCAAGTTATCAAAAAACTTCTGAACGACAACTTTATTAAAACCCATAGCACGACCCAAGGATGTAGCTTCAGCTGTTCGAATAGAGAGGATATCTTTTGAGATAATTGGTCATCCAATATTTTCCTGCCATTTCATTTTTGAACCAAGAGGGAGGAATTCACTTGCCATATTCTGCTACCAATGAAAATGCAAACTTTCTGACATCTTTTGTAGTGAGTCCATGATTCAATTTGGCACACATTTGGAGGTATTGACAAAGCTCTGTTTCTTCCGCAATAGAAAATATTCGGTTTACAGTATAATTGGGCGACATAACATTTGCTATGTCTTCAACATTTTCAAAAAAAATTTTATATCTCCTAAAGGGTAGTTCTTGGAACGAATTGCTTTTACAGAAAGACCATGTTCCTTTATACTACAAAGAGCATTTCTCATGGTCTCTGGAGGAATTTTTCCAATTAAACCAGGTCTTTTCGTCTTCGACCGTGGCATTTTTTCTTTCTGAAATGAAAAAAAAAAAAACATCGGGAACAGTGGCCACTACTTCTATTCTTTAAAAGCAGTGGCCACTGTTGCGAATCAGTTTGTGGCCACTGTAGCAGAGAGAGACGAAAATACACTTTACCTAACCACAAAAAAATTGATAGTAATTTTTGCATTTTAGCGTCATCATACGCTTTATCTAAGTCAAGATAAATATAGGGAATACAAATAACAGTAGTGTACTTACCAATAACGGATATATACACCGAAAAAACCAGCGAAATATGTAACTTTTTACGTTAGAAATACGCATAAACTGCTGCCGCGAATGGCGATACACCGAAAATACGGTTGAAATATTCAAAACAAGTCATGATTTTAACCCCGCATACGAGGGGGCGCTACTACTAGACATCACATTGCAATAATATCAACGGGTAGCCACTGTGCTTGGTATGGCCACTGTTGGCGGACGTCCCCTACTCCATTTCTTAAGGTTTCTTTTAAACCCACTCTAGTTCTAAATTATCTCTATTACCTCTCCTACGTCGAAATAATCTTCGTCGTCGTAATCTTCATCATCGAAACGGGATTTTTTTCTTATTAAGACTTTGATTAAATAAAAATCCACAGAACAAAAAATTCTCATTAGGATAACAACTAGTTGGGCAATCCAAAACATTGTAGATATGAAAAAACAATTCTGGCTAAGTTTCATGCTTCTGTACAGATCGCGGCGCCCTAGTTTTTGTTCCTTTGTAAAATAATCCAGTAAAGGAGAGCAGCTAAAAATTATTATAAAATGAAATAAGTTTTAATTGCTACTGTAAATGTAATGTCACTATATAAGTACAAAACAAATTTACTACATTTTAATAGGTTGTACCCATAACAAGTGTGTAATCGTGTCTAACTAATATAAACTAATCGCACCGACAGAATCAAGTATGTTTCCTACACCAAAATCATCTTACAGAACTCGCCCCTAGGAATTTTTGTAGATGGCCATATTAGACTGGTTAATTGATGTTTAGAAGGCGCTGAATTTAATGACCGAGCATATAAAAAATAAAAATTTTTTTACTGATAAAAGGAAATATATTTCATACCACTGCCCATTCAACAAGATAAATTTTTTTTTTCGATAAATATACATTGAAACAGAAGTATTGTAAAAAAATATAAGCTTTAACGAACATCCATTTCATGGACATTCTAATTGAATCGAAACAGTGATTGAGTTCGTGAAGTTCCAGCTTTTTGTGGTTGTGCAAGCCTAGCCTCAATATCATTAACTTGCACCATTACTACATAATTAATAATCGGAAAGTGGAAGTTGGTTGAATTTCTCTTTCGCCTTTAAAACTTTTCCTCCTAAATTAATGTTCACTCGTCAGAGCCTACCCCTGGAACCATGTCACTGTTTTTTTGTTTTTCTAAATGGAGTTTATTTAGCCATTTACATTCAACAAGTTTATGCGAAATGTGTTCTTTTCTTTTAATAGAAAATATGAATCTACAACAAGAATTGTGTAAAACCTGGATCCTTCTTTTTTCACGCTGAAATAAACAAGGCCAAAAAATATAGTCACAATAATTGAAATATCTCGCAGAGTAGAGTTTTAAACCTAATATTAAGAAAATGGCGAATACTGTATAAGACTTTCTTATTAAATTTTTAATATAATAGCAAAAACGAAGATTATTATCAATAATAATACCTAAAACTCTAGTATTATCTACCATTTCTAATAATTCATTAGATATATGGATTTTAAAATTTACTTTGAGAAATTCCTTGTTTCTACCAAAACATAATAGTTTAGAAATAATATCAATAGTATAAATAATGAATAAGAGAGGTCCTAATATTGACTCTTGTGGAACTCCAGATAAAATGTCAATTTTAGTAGAGGTTTTACCAACATTTATTTTTTGTGACCTATCCAGTTAATAAGACCAAATGAGAAACAAAGATTTATCAGAGAAACCAAAATATTTCAGTTTAGCACAAATTAATTCATGATTAATAATAGTATCGAAAGTTTTAGAAAAATCTAATAAAACTAAAGCCGAGTTAAGACCTTTATCCAGAGCCGTTAATATATCATCAGTAACAACTGATAATGATGTTTCAGTAGAGAAATTACGCCTAAAGCTACTTTGTTTTTCGGGAATTAAATTGTTGGAGGTAAAATAAGAATACATTTGGTTGGACACTCAAAAATTTTAGAAAGTGATGGTAATATACTGATTATCCTAAGATCATAAAGACTTTGAGGATCTTTACATTTATGCAATGGTTTCCCAATTGCAATCTTCCAGTCTATTGGAAAATACGATACCTCAATACAGCAATTAATAATATTTGTTAAATATTTATCGGTGAAAGGACTACATCAGTGGCGGCTGTGGGGGTGTTCACAGTGACAGAATATAGGTATCAGTACAGATGTATGAAAACAATTTTCAGTGTTTTAGAAAGTTTATAATTTATCTTTCTAAAACACTGACAGTTTTTTACCTATATCTGTACCGGGATCTATATTCTGCTACTGTAAACCCCCAAAATTTTGGTCACAAGCCGCCCCTGGCTACAGTATTTGCGTATATTAGATGTAATATTATCAACACAACATTCTCTTGTAAAATAGGAGCGTATTGCATTTTTTACCATCAGTTCATCAACTTCTCTGTCAGTTTTACGTTTATACTTTCGACGTATCTACAAAATCAAACAAAAATTTTTTTAAATAGTACCCATACTAGACATGGGGATGATTTCGGCCGTGGCCGAAAACTCCACCTGTAGGGGCCGAAGCATCACCATTAGTCCAAATTAAATCGCTGATGGCCGAATCCTCCCAGGGGTAGAACCCTCCACCCTCTCTCCTACAGTAAACAGAAAATATCGTGACTTTCGATGTCAGTGTGCGCAGAGACAAATCTTAGGGGTGGCACCAACAAAGTAGGGAGATACGCCGACGAAGTACAATCGATACAGCAAGTTTTCAAAATCTATTTATCTGCTCAGAACTTTGATATTTTATATTTTTATCAGCCAAGCTCAGATCTGTTTATAAATACGGGCCTTAGTTTATCTATGGACTGTTTTTTTGTTGAATGAGACTTTATGAAAAAGTTGCACTCTCGTGCGTCTGACTATCCGCGATACAAGCTAAGAGATATGTCCCCTGGGGGGCTATTTTCAAACTCGAGAGAATTCATTTCTCTCAAGACAAATGTCATACGTCAACGTAAAACCGTATTTTTAGGGCTCTTAGGGCCAGTGTGAATTCACTGACTGTTTCTCTCGGTTTATTTAGAGAGAATTAAAATCTTCCTAAGAATTTTAATCCTCGATGCCTTTAAAAACAACATTTCCACATTGACGTATGACATTTCTGATGAGAATCTTGAGAGAAATGAGTGCTCCCATACTTTGAAAATAGCCCCCCTGGAGGTTTGTAAAAGGTGTAAAAGGTGTCTATAAGATCATTTGTTATTGATAAACCCTTATCATTCAGTTCTTTGAGTTTTGAGGAATCCTTGAATAGTGAAGATTTGTTTAAATACGATACAAATTCCACGAGTACAGGAGCCTTGTTAGTTTTTCCTAGTCTATATGTATTATTTATGTCCTGTGTTTTTAAATTACATGAAAGATTTTCGTTTAAAATTTTAATGCTTTTTTCTAAAATATTTTCTGCTTCTTCTCGTTGGACCCCAAATAGTATAATATTATTTTTTCTCACTCTTCTCTCTAATTCTACATTCTTTTCTTTTAAAATCTTAATTTCATCAAAAGCTTCATCTAACCTTTCATTCAAAGAATTTGTGACGCTTTGAAACTCTGTTTTTATTTCTTCAGTTTGATCACGATTTGCTTTTAAAAATAACTCATACAATTGAGAAAGCTCCGGTGACAACGTACTTAAATTTGCCATTTTCCAATATCAAAGCATCGAAATGTTTAGCTTTACTGAAGTGTATGGTCACCTTTATAATCGTATATTCTAATTTAAAACCGGTACTTGTGATTAATTGATAAATAATATATTATAGGAGTTTTTGCTGGTGTATTTATTTAGTTTGCTTTATAGGTTATTTTATGGTATTTTGTAGATATTTTTCCACAATTGAAAGATTTTCCAAATCTTTGGATAAAATGTTATTCTGTATATGCTAATCTTTTGCGTTGATATATTCTTTGTAAATAAAATTTGTACATACCAGAGAAAATTTAGGTTTTACAGAGAGCAACACTACGGTACAAACAATATCTTAGGCAGACCACACACTTATATTTTAGCATATTGTATTTCAATTTTAGATCATGTTGGATGGTCACTTTTAGTTGTATATAATACATATTAGGTCTTTTCCTTTGCATCGAAAGTGTAGCACTGAGCTACACCACTTCTGAAAATATCGTTCCATTTATACAAATTGTATGGATGGAACAATATTTTCAGAAGTGACGTAGCTCAGTGCTACACTGTCGATGCAAAGGAAAAGACCTATCGCTTTATAACTGGACTTCCGACTCGGAGACCGCCATTTAGATGTTGACAGGAATCATTAATAGATAATTGAAAATATTTAAATAAACCCAAACCACAAGTAATTTTAATGTCCTTAAGTTATAACTAAGTAACGAAAGTATCTCAGTAATAAATCATTAAAATAAAAATACATAACAAATAGGTAGGTATATAGGAATTTTTTCTTACCGATTTTGTCCAGTGAAATGCACAAAATGAGCGCAAAATGCATTTAAACCATTGTACACCAAGTTTAAAGCCACTACAGCTAAAATAGTCATGGTACTTGTTACAATTGCTAATGGATAAACATATAACCAATCTGCAGGAACTCTAAAAATTATTTATTTGCACGTGAACTGTACATTTTAAAAATATTTAACTTATATTTATTCAAACAGTTAATTTTTCACTTTATTTCAACAAAGACAATAATTAAGCTTATATAACTTGTACTAAATACATTACTAATTTATATTTCTTTTACTAATACACTAATTTACATTGACAATATTTATTTGAACAGAATGATATATTAACTTGAACTCAACTTTTATATGTGCCTATTTGGCAGGCTATGATATTTTTGCAACAAATTTTGTCTGGCAATTTAATCCAGTTGTTTACAAGATAGTGACAGTTGACAAATATACCTGATTGTAAGTTACATAAGTTTAAAGTTATTCTTTCGCCAATAAGTGATGGAAATGAAGAAGAAGCATTATCGGATTACGATTTTTTACAATTTCGAGCGTAGCTTAAACCATAAAAAATGTTTTAAGGAAATCAATCGAGTGCTTGGTGACAAATCGTATTCCTTCTTTACCGTAAAGCGGTGGTACAGTGAATTTCAACGTGGTCGACGGCCAAAAACGGCAGTTACAGAAAAACTATTGACCTTTTTTGGAACAAGATTAAAGAGCATCAGCACATTACTGTCAGCAACATTAAAAAAAAAATTAAAGATTGGCGTGAAAGCAATTAACACTATTGTACACAAACATTTAAAAGTTCATAAGCTTTGTTCTACAATTTGACTTTAGTTCAAAAAGAAGACCGTTTGAAATGGTGCAGATACACACTAGATCGCTTTGATCGTGGATCGTCTAATTTGGTATACATCATCACAGGTGATGGAACTTGGATATACTGCTATGATCTCGAAAAAAGCACCAATCGTTAATTTGGATCTTTAAGAATGAGTCGGTTCCAACAAAAGCCGAAACAAAAATATGATTGTTACTTTTTTTTTGAATTACTGGGCATGTTTCTATTGTAGCACTGGAGCCTAAACGTACTGTTAATTTAGAATAGTATACCAAAGTTTGTTTGCCTCAGGTTCTACAAAAGGTTCGGGAAAAACGTCCAAGATAACGCTCGGGCTCACACTGCTGCTCGAACAAATTAATGTTTGAACGCTCGAAATATAGAAATAATGGGTCACTCGCCGAATAGTCCAGACCTAACACCTAATGACTTCTTATTTCCGTGGGTAAAGGATAAATTACTGGCCGAAGAAGCGGTTGATGCTTTTAAAAATTAAATAAACAAATTACGGCTAGAAGATTTGAAAAAATGGTTTTTGCGGATGAAAAAATGAATTGACTGTGGAAAAGAATACTTTATTATTATAAATAAATAATATTTTGTGAAAATAAACTGTGTTTTACTTTACTAGGCTCAACGGAAAGAGAACAGCCATCGTATACCTACATATGTGCGGCACTTCCAGACTTATTCTTGGACATGATAGATGTCCTTCGACCAGCCTCTTCACCAGAATTATTGTCTCTAGATGTTTTGTTGTATATAGGTCCAGTATACTCAAGAATAAATGGTTTACTTCTACCTATGATGGCCATGGACGCCTTATAGGGGTTTCGGAGGATAACTTATTCGAATATTCTGGGTAAAAGGAAAAATGTAGGCCGTAAAGGGGCCCAAATAAGGTAGATTGGGACTTAAGGGATTAGAGCAGGTCCGGACTGGTTGAAAATGGCTCGCATTACAATAGGTACGATTCTTTTTACTACCACAAAAATCATATTCTATTTAAAAGTGGAGTTTGAGTAGGGTAAGCTGGCAGTTAAAAAAAATCATAAAAAATAAATAAAATTATCCGATGAGTTTGAAAATAGATCAGTAACCTAAGTGTAATCAATAAAATTATTATAAAATTACCCTAACCTCATAAACTCTTAAATTAACCAGCCACCGATAGCGTCACACTAGTAAGGTCAGTTTTGTACGATAAAATTATATAAAAAAAGATCATTTCTACAGCATTGTACAACAATTTTATTTTGGTCGTCTGGCAACACTGGTGATGAAGCAGTTCGAGAATAGGGTATCAGTAGGCAGCGTTCGCCATAGAAAGCGTTCACTAGCTAGTGACTCCGCCAAGTGATGATGCAGCTAAATGTATTTTTATCACAGAATACTCACTTCTTATTGTAATCGTACCCTACCGGGTCTACCTCAGAAAATTTCCCGTAATATCACGATTTTCTAATTCTACAAACCATCATCCTAAAATAATAATGTTTCGCTCCGGGGGGGACAGATGGAAGTAAAATAAAAATACTTACGAATCTATTAACCCTCTGTGCGTTCTTCTAAATAGGAGTACAATAAATGTGAAAACTGCAGCAACAACAAATCCTATAAACGGTACCAAAATGACAAAATTACACATCATAACAGTAGCAAAAACAGTTGATGTCATTCCTACATGTGCCCTTGCAGTCATTGTTTCGTTGCTTAACCATAATTCATCATCATATATGTAAATGTGAGGTACCTTAAAGCAAAATATTTTTAGATTTCTGGATAGGTAATAACTATAGTTCCTCAGCTGACTGACTGCAAAAGGTGGCACTCATTTGGCACGTCGCGTCGCAGCGGAAAGGGGTGAAAAAAGTTGTACTATGCCCCGCGGTGGGAGCGGTGATGTGACCTGTGAAATTTAGAGTATGAAGACTAGAGAGAAGGAGGCGAATCGGCAATGGTCAAATTTCAAATTTCCGTCCTTTTTTTTTTATAAAGTTCGCAAAATTGACTGTAGTTGGCATGTCTAATGACAGCGCAGTCAATTTTCTATGTAAGTCAATGTAAAATAAAGTGATTTTTTAAAAAATTAATGAAAAGAGTCAAAATAATGTGACATGAGTGACAAAAAACATCAAAGCAAGATTTACGTCGTTTCAGATTGTAAAACAGAACAAAAATCAAATGTAAAACTAAAGAAAACACAAGAAGAAATCAATTCAATGTCTTTTTAAAGCTTTTAATGTAAGTAAAATAATGTATTTATGTCTAAATATAATATTTATTGTAAACTAGTCACAATATGTATCTTACGAAGTGTAGTTTATTTTATTATAAGTTTTTATAATATAAAATATGACAGTTATAGAAACTGACTTACAAACAACAATAATTATGCATTAAATTTAACTTACTAGGAAAGAAAATTTATTTTGTCCACGACCACTTAATAATAAATCAATATTCTACCTCCTAACTAAAAGCATATAGTACCCATATATCACGGAGTGAATTATGATAATTCACGCTTTTGTAATTCTGGCACATTCTAACTAACTAAAGATAGGCGATACTTTTCATAACGATATTTTCTAGATCGAAAAATTGAAAAGTGGAAAAAACAACAGTTACCTATGTTTAATAAAAACTTTCCATTCTACACTTAACTTTTATTTAATAAAGAAACCATAAGGTCGTGGACAAAGTATAGTATTAGACTCGCAATTTATGGCCATTATTCACTCGGGTCACTTGCGCCCCTCGCCTACGGCTCGGGACGCAAACGTCACCCTGTGTGAATAATGACTACCATAAATTGCTCGTTCAATAATATACTATTTTATAGAGTTTTAATGTTAGATAAAGAGTTGCTACTGTTATTTTTTTTTTTTGACCCCAATTGTGTCATTGTAAATGTTTTTTATAGGATACTAAACGTTTAGAACAGTGGCAGCATATATATCGTTTCTAGTGCCGATAAAGCACTTTCTATGAGACTACTTTTACTGATGGTACTGTTAGCAAAATAAAAAGGGGAAAGCTGAAATTAAAGGATGAGGTAATACCATGTACATTCCCAAATCTCCCTTTATACTGGTATTACAACAATAAAAAATCAGTTAACTGTGTTTTATTTTACTCTTAAAACTATATATTGGTTCAATTAAAAAAAAATTGCCACAAAATTGTACTTTATTATGTAAAATTCCCATAAGAAGCCATATATTTTGAACAACGTATGCAGTACCAGCGCCCTTGCGGTTAATTATAGAAGCTCAATTAGCATGCGTTTATTTGGGACCGTATTTTGAGTATGCCGATTCGTCTCCTTATCTCTGTCTTCATAATTCAGAGTAAGGTGAGAGTAAGTGGTATAGTTGCTCAAGCATAGATTTTTGCTTTTTTGCCTGCAATGATATAAATGCTTCCAGACGTCGATAACAATAAAACAATCCCTCTGCGGACATATGTCGTCTGGTTTTGCTACTTTCGGTTTAGTAAATCCAGCCAGTAAATCGAATATTTCCGATTTTTCAACGAAATCCGGGATATATCTTAAACCCGGTTTATTAGATCCTAAGATGATATTACGGGAATTTTTTTGCCAAAACGAAAGTGGAGATATATAAAAAGAAATTTGTAACCAGGCGAAAAGTGGGTCGGTTTATTGAAATAGGCGTAAATATTGACAGATTTCGCAATCCCTACAACCATCGGAGACATAAGAAATTATAATAGCTCAACGACAAACAACTACTAGACTAATTTTATTTACGTAAATCGAATTACAAGCATTCACGATGTTATCTACGTAGCTGTCAAGTTATTATGATAGAGTATAGGAGAATCTTATAACAAGGATTTTTATGGTTATAATTCGGAATTGACGTAATATAAGGCTAACGCATAACATTTCAAAATTGCATTAAGAAAACTATATTTGCATTCTAATGCCAGTTATGATCACTTTAATGTATTTTTCTCGTTACAATTATCATAGTTGAAGGTGATTTCCAGGGAAGTACGCAATTTATTTTGAAGTATGGCAGCAGTGTAAAGTAAGCGCCGTATAGCGAAAGTAAAAGTTGGAAAGGCTTTTGGTAGGTAGAGAGGGGGTAAACGTCAAACCAAGTCGGACGGCTTCGAGAATTTCGCAGTAATGTTTACCTGCCAGTGTCGTTTCATAGAATAAGTAATTTTAAATTGTTATCAGCGGGACCGGACAATCGCATGTATTTATGGACTATAAATAATTAATTAACATGTATTATAATATTCAAATCATAATTTTACAAAATTTCAACAGATATTCACAATTTATTAAACTATTTACTCGAAATTGTTATTAACATCTATAAAATAATTTTGTACGCCAATGTATCGCGCCACTTCGGTGATATCCGCCGCAAACCTGTCAATTTATGTGTATAAAGTGGGAGAACTGGCAAAAGCCTTTCCAACTTTTACTTCTGCTATAGTGGTAAGTACTGATTTATTCACAACACACATGCTCGCACCTCAGATGAACGAGCTCGCACAAACCATCCCCACTCTAATTAGCAGCCGTCTCGCGTGCTCTAATGCGGCAACCGATGCGGCAGCTCTACCTGCCTAATATAAAACACAATCTTATTAATTATGAATGAATGGATTAGTCTAGTAGTTTTTCGTCATTGTAATAGATTATTTTTCAAATTTTTGTAACCAGTATTTCAATTTTGTTTTTTTAATGTTTAAAGGGCCCCACTCACCTCGTTCTTCTCCGCCGTTTTTAACCGACGGTTAAAAACGTCAGGGTAAAAATGTCACAAAAACGAGGTGTATGGGCAAGAACGTCGTTTATGAACGTCGTTCCAAAATTTCAGGCGAGTCTTGATTTTTGACGGTTATCGTGCCAACCGTTCGAGTAAATACGAGATGTATGTTCTCAACAGTTTGACTGGTCGGGCATTTATTAGTAGCAGTGACGTTCAGCATGTTTTTGTTGTTTATTATTATTTACAATAAAAATGTCGGATGTTAAGCAGTGGAACAGAGATTTTTTATTAGAGTTTATCGAGCTTGGCAGGTTTCGGGTATTATGCGCCCTAGTGCCTGCGGTGAAATAATAACAGAAAACTTCAGATCCTCGTAGCTGCGGCCAGTGGCCAGAAACCGCAGAGTAGTTGTTAGGCGTTCGTGAGGACTGATGCATTCCCGTAACTGGGTATTATGTCTCTCAATTAACGGTGTTAATAGTTTTAACAGTTTCCGATACGTATCCTCGTCCATCCTCAAGTAATTGTGCCAATCACCAGGCTCCAATCTTAGCTCCTCCAGTAAATTTGTTTGTGACAGTGTACTGCGTTTAAGTAGCCAGTCTTTAGTCCATTTTCTTCGAGATTTTATTTTTTCACGATTTTTTTCCACTGCCAAAACCGCTGCCACTGCTAACAAGCACGTAGGGTCCATCGTGATAAACTGGCGCGAAAAAAACTGTTGTGTGTGGACATATCAGTCAATGTTTTTCCTTCCAACGTTTTTAACCGTCGGTTAAAAACGGCAAAGAAGAACGAGGTGAGTGGGGCCCTTAAATGGACAATATACTTGCGTCACGTGACGGTGATTTTGACCAGTCAAGTTGACTGAATTTTGTTATTAATAAGTTACAATACCAACTACGAAACTAAAGCTCCGTCAAATTCGTGATATTTCAAAAACTGGGCAAAGATCAGAATTTTCAAGTTTGCGCATCTTTACACGTTCCCGGTATCGCCTATTTCGATCACTTTTTTTGTTAACTCGATTTACTAGTATCAACCTTGCGTAAACGTTCACGTTCTTGATATCGATTACAGTTTTCGATATTTTTCAAAACTTACAGAATCCAAAGCTACGAAATAAGCGAGCTCATCGTCCTAACGATTGTATTTTCCGCGAAAAACTGTTAGTGAAATGAGCTCTTTATTCCGCAAACTCGTAACTTAGTCCCCTATACGAACCTAAACATGTCCAATGTTACAACTGAAGCAAAAGTCAAAAATAATTCCTCTCAATTTGTAGGAATGGCTCACAATATTAAGAGTATTCTCCTTGACAGTATTTTTTTATTTAGTAGTTTAATCACATTCGCGCTTCTGTTCACCCTGGGTTTTCATGAAAAAAATGTTAAAATAGTCTAATTTATGGTAAACGGGGTAAAATTACTCAAAATACCAAGCCAACGTAGTCGATGGCTGTGATACCGAATTAAAAAAGTATGACTTACTCCAGGCACTGGTTTTGCTTGTTCAAAATTAAGTTTTCGAGTGTTTGTACCAACTTCTATATAGTAATCACTTTCGAAGATTCCCAAATTTAATTTTAAATTTAAGTTATGCATTTTCGGATTGTTTGCTGACTTCATGCTATCTTTAACTTCTTCGGAGTCCACCAACATATCTACTTTATTTTCTGTGATTGATGGAGATGAAGGGGATATGTCAGTTTTATTCTTAAATTCAATACCAGTTAATTTTGTTGAAACTTTAGCGTACAAAATGCATCGATAATTAAAAATATCGTAAATTTCGCAGAAAGCAAACGCTCCTTCCATTGAACTGATAGCAATTCCAATGAAACAAAAAACATGCATTACTGAAAAATTTAAAACAAAATGAATATATTTTTCTTGTGTTTATATTAATACAGTGGCGGCTGTAAGGGCCGTAGAGCTAAAGCCACTCAGTATAAGGATAAACCAATTTATATAAAATAAAAATGTATTATGACATTTCCCAATACTATTTTTAATAAAAAAAATAATATTTGACGTTTATGTATAACGGCTCCTTTGTTTTAATTGTTTCAATCATAATCTTGCCGTCCGTCACTGGCGTTCAATACACTTTCCGTTAACAGATGTTGCTGGCTGACAGGGCTAAAAGTTGCAGTGCTCTCAATTCACGTATTCGGGCTGTTAGATCGGGTAACATCGCTTTGCGCTCGTAGTTCTCAGATACGCAATTTTTAAATGCAAGAAGGCTACGAAAATGTTCGTCCTGCTCCTTTGTAGACAGTGTGTAGAGTGTAGACAGGTGAAACTGCTTATTAGTTATCTCAGATGCTGTAAGATAAAAAGCAAGATGGCCGCTTGTAGACACAGAAACTTGTTTACCATCATTGTTTTATGCGGAACAGTCGTGATTTATTGTGTATTTTTGAACAATATAAAGTTATTTGAAAGATAAGATGTGTTGGTTACTTTTATTGAAACATATATGTATACCTATTCAACATTTTTCACGTCATATTTCCTTGTCAAAATCGTTAGCTTGTTAGTAAAAATATTTTTTAAAAACATGCCTACATATCTTGTTGTAGTAAAGTGTGGAATCCGTGGAGATCGTGATGTTGTCAAATTTTTTCAGATAGTTGTATATTACTTCCCAGGCAACAGACTGACGTCATTATGACATCTTATTTTCGTCATACAGGACGTCATTTATCCTTTGAAAACTAACGTGATAATGACGGTAAAATGATGTGAATATGTCACAGCCCAAATGACGTCATATTTAGACGTCTTTTTCACGTCTAAATATGACGTCTTTATGACTTTTCCTAGTAGTCTTTATAACGTCCTTATGACGTTTTCATATCGTTGTTTTAATGTCAATTTTGTCGTTATTTGAGACGCCACCATGACGTTATTTTGATATTGTTACTCCTTTGTAACTTTTCTATAGGAACTGTGGGTCGCTTAATAAAACAAAATTAGAAAATGAAATATTTATAATTAAAAAGAAAAACAGTTTAAATACATGAAATGTTATTGGCAAAAAACATTAATTTACATAAATCCAACTGCTCCAAATGTGGCCAACTTGTTCGTTATTATTTTATCTTTGACACAATTATGAAGACTATGAGTGCCGCCATTTTATACTATTTCACGAACCTGGGAACATTTTATGAAACAGCCTATGAATGTAATAGTTATAAAATCATTAAAGAATAAGAAAAATATAGATATAAAAATACTAAAAGTCACATACCTTATGCTGGGTTGATATAAATATAACTTTTTTCTCTGACCTTCTCTTAACTTTTAACGACAATTCTAAATGTATACCGGCTACGATCCACGATGCACCCACCATTACACATGGCCGATGCAACCATCTGCGATACCGTTCTCGTGCTTGCTGGAACGGCTCGAACACACACGAGCCATACTCCACAGACCGATGACCACAGACAGACGCAGTCCTGTGTCACGTGGTGTCATACAATATTTATGCATTTTAAGCGCCAGATTTAAACGTTAAAAGACCTAAGAGTTTTAAAAAATAATTGTTTAGGCCATATCGGTGTAGCCGGTGGTGTAGCGGTCTAACGCGCTTATATTCATTTATAAGCAATTTTATGTGTCACAGACTGCTGGGCTTCGAATCCCAGACCAGACCATCTGGATTTTTAATTAAATTGCATGGTTCGGTATAGGATTTGATGTGTGCCGTATTAATAGAAATTCAATTTCTGTTGATATGACATGCAGATTATAAAAAATCGCCATACATTACCGTCTCGATGATGGTGGGTGAGGTTTTCCGGGTTTTCCTCACCTGTTAGTCAAATGGCACCATCAATCATCTTTAAGTCGCCCCGGAGCGCCACGGCAAATAATAATAATAATAATAGCCGTCCCTTTCCCCGCACAAGCTCAGCTTTTGGGGTTAAAATTCACTCGTAAGGGGGTGAATTAGGGAGAGTATTATTATTATTATTATTATTATTATTATTATTATTATTATTATTATTATTATTATTATTATAATATCATTTTACATAAATAAAATGTATTGAAATAATGTTTAATATAAACCTTAATTTAATAGTGACATTAAATTGACGTCACACTGACGTCGAATTTGTGACGTCAAAAAGACGTTAAAGAAGTGACGTCATAATCACCTAATTTTTTGGTAACATGACGTCGATGACCAAGAATTACCAAAAAATGTCGTCAGTCTGCTGCCTGGGTTGTACATAGCATCGACAATTTTGACGAAAAAGTTGTAGAACATAATTACTTGTGTTAGGATAAATAAAGTGTGCTAATTTAGAGGAATAATATCAAAATATATTAAACGACAGGGACGGATTAACAAATTATGATAAATTGATAAATTTTGTATATTTAAGTGCATTTCAAAAGTGTCCTCAGGACTAGGTTACCAGGCTACCAGCCGCCACTGTATTATAGAACTTAAAATGTAATTCCGAGTGTCAGTATTTCGGTGAGATCAAAGTGCAAGAAGTAACAAACGGGCTTTATGACGAATTTTCGGAGAGCACCGTTGCCATGAGACCTTTAGGTACCTACTAGGATTATAAATAGTTATACACGTAAATTGAATGTGTGTTGGGAATGCAACCCTGTGAGATAATTTCAATCCAGGTATTTGCGAGACTGAACATTCCTATCCCGCGGGATCCAGGTATTTGCGGTATCCTGCAAGGTGCTGTAAAACTTCGCAAAAAACAAAACTAGTACCACATTTTAAGGATTTTAAATGAAATAAAACAAATTTTAATTAAGTATCAAGTTATATGCTATATTTTTCAGAGATAAATAAACATTTACTAATCTATTAAATACGTACGATAAGAAAATTAAATATTATTTTGAAAATAACTGTGTAAAAAATTCAGTTCAGTGCAAAAAACCGACAGTTATTGTCATTTCTCTGTGGTTGTTATTCTCGGTTTCTCCCTCCATAACATATAATTAAAAACCTTATCAAATAAGCTATCAGTCAATCTCTGTTGCCATTTTAAGTTTTCAAAGGAGCAGCTATCCTTCGCAAGAGGTTGAAATTAGAGTACCTATATTTTTACTTTCCTAGCTGTATACAGATATAAGGAAAGTATAGGAATTATGATTTTTTTCGACCTCCAGTTTTCGACGGATTTTTACGTTTTGGGGTCCCCTGAATCCGTTTTGACTATTTTTAGGGATGATGTGTGTGTGTGTGTGTGTGTGTGTGTGTGTGTGTGTGTGTGTGTGTGTGTGCGTGTGCGTGTGTGTGCGTGTGTGCGTGTGTGCGTGTGTGCGTGTGTGTGTGTGTGTGTGTGTGTGTGTGTGTGTGTGTGTGTGTGTGTGTGCGTGTGCGTGTGCGTGTGCGTGTGCGTGTGCGTGTGCGTGTGCGTGTGCGTGTGTGTGTGTGTGTGTGTGTGTGTGTGTGTGTGTGTGTGTGTGTGTGTGTGCGCGTGTGTGTGTGTTTAGATGTATCCACCATAACTCATGAACCGATACAAAGAAAAACACAAAATTTTAAACTTAAGCTTTATTTCGGCGTCCAATGAACTGATTAGATTTTGGGCAGAGTCGGAACATCTGGGGGGTACTTTATAGGTAGTCATTTTTATATTTTATGAAATATATCTGTTATTTACGTTTGGAGAAGAAAATTCTTTAAATAAAAGTTACTTCCAATATTATTGTCTATAATTTTTGTTTTATACAAAATTTTCCTAAAATGGCCCGTATTCGAGAAATTTGACAAAATGTAAAAAAAATAATTTTTTATAAAAATTGTTAAAATAAAAGTTGTTTGTAATATAATTTTCTATAATTTTTATCCCATACATAATTTCTCTAAAATGGACCGTATTCGAAATATTTGAGAAAATGTGTAAATTTCGAATTTTGAAGAAAACTCAAAAACGGATAAAGGAAAAAACATTAAATTTTAAACCTGTTTTATTTCGGCCTAAGGTGAAATGATTAGATTTTGGAAAAAGGCGGAGCATCTGTGGGGGTACTTTATGGGAGGCCGTTTTTATATTATATGGAATATATCTGTTATTTACGTTTGGAGACGAAAATATTTTAAATTAAAGTTACTTCTAATATTATTTTCTATAATTTTTGTTTTATTCAAAATTTTCCTAAAATGGTCCGTATTCGAGAAATTTTACAAATGTAAAAAATTATGATTTTTTAAAAAAATTGTTGAATTAAAAGATGTTTGCCATATAATTTTTGTTTCTTTTACATGATTTCTCTAAAGTGGACTATAATGAAAAAATTGGAGGAAAATTATAAAATTTAAATTTTTCAGAATTTTCGAGTTAGATGTATGTGGAAAATGTATATATTAAGTTAACCTCTAAATATTTACAGAGGTGCTACAATAGATTGTACAAAATAACCGAAAAAAGCCCGTAATAACTAGATAGGCAAGTCATGTGTTGGACACATCAGATTTTTTATCGTAAAAATAAAAATATTAATGATAGTAACTTCTTTATAAAACTAATTTAAGTCATCTATCCCGTTTTTAACATATTTTTTATATCATTCTTAAGAATAGTAAGCATTTTATTTTCAGGGGGGGACTGGAGCCAACCTTGAGAGGTAAGCGCTGTACCGACTGACACTAGGAAAATATCGAGTTGAACTTATACCAAAGAATGAAAATAAGGACATTTTCACAAACAAAAATTATATTTTGTTTCTCCGTTTTATTAATAATTATTTTCTCTAAACAAAATGGTGATTGACATAAAAATCAGGTTAAGGTAATTAGAATTTTTGTGAGCAAAAAAAAAACAAATATTTGTATAACTATGTTCTACATACCTCTCCACGCTACATTAATGTCCACTTTTTCAACATATTGATGAAATCGTCTAGGCCTCATATTATCATAAAATATAGTAAAACATGTTTAAAGCACTTCATCAAAAATATATATATTTTTGTCAATAAATGATTCAGTTATGACATAAAATAACCTTTTGGTTCTTAAGGTACATTCACAGTATACCTGGGATCATCCTAAGATTAACCTGCAACCACTAAACTGAACCACTGGAATGCTATACGATCCTGCTGATCTATGGTCAGTACACTTTCAAACGCAGGTCATTTGAAATGCACAGAGATACCATCATCTTTTTTTAAGAGGTTCAATCAATATCAAAACCGCAATGAGGATTTTTAAAAAATTTTCCCCTAATTCAGAAGCAGGAAATGAAAAATGTATTACTTATTTCCACAACATAAGAAGCCTACAAAATAAAATGGATGAATTAAAATTAATCCTAAATGATTGTGACGAGAAACTTAACGTGGTTTACTTAACAGAGACAAGTATCAATCATCTTCAGCTTGAAGGTGCTGTGTTGAAGGTTTCTATTTAGGAAGCTACCATTGTAGATCTCAGAATGATTATGGGGGCGTTTTAATCTATGTCAAAAATGATCTTTTATCTCTAACAAAACTGTTACCAATAAATAACTGATCAGTTGATTATCATTGCGAGTACACATATATCAAAATTTTAAACTTAACTGTTATTATAATATGTATACAGATGTCCTTCAGGTAATGTAAATTTGTTTTTTGAAATTTTAACCCAAATTCTGTGTGTATTGTGAAAAAAAATAGGTGACTTCAATATTGATATTCTAGTTGAAAATAACTTAAAAAATGATTTTGTTAACAATTGTTTAACAAATATCTCACAAGCATATTTCAACATAGCTCTTGAAGATTTTTATCTTTTAAATCATAAATGTATCATTAAAACGATTAACTTACCTAGAACTCATTGTTTAGATAATCGGACGGCATCATAAAATTCAGACCACTAAATGAAATAAGAATAAAGGACTGCATTGAGTACCTAAAAAATTATGACTTGACTTTACTTGAAACTTGATAATGTAGATAGGATGTGCCATGTGTTTCTAGAAGCATTCTAACACGCCATTGATGAATATTTACCAATAAAAACTAAAAACACTCATATAAGAAATAAACATAAAAAATTGTTCAACTCTGAATTAAAACTAATTAGACAACAGGGGGTGGGTTGGCTCAGTGGTTAGAGTCATGACTTTGAGATCGGAAGGTCTCAGGTTCGAATCCCACCGTTGGCCGGGATTTTTTCATTTAATTTATTTAAAATTAATTCTGATGCCTTGGACCATTCACTGTTGGGTTCTAATTAACAGTGCTGTTCCCAAAGTGGCGCTGGGAAACAGTAACAAAGCCTACACAGAACACGAGGCTAATGGTCGTAGTAGTCAACGCCGATGACACCAAATTAAAAAAAAAATAGACAACAGCTAAATGATTTACACCAACTCACAAAAGTGATAATTTAGAAATAAAAATTAAAAACCTAAAACTATTTTTCAACAAAAATTAATACATCAAACAATAGGTCTAGAAGTATTGTGACAAATTATAAACCCTAAAAAAAATATAACAGTAAACTTAATCCTAATGATTTTAACAACTTTTGCACAAATGTATCTAATATTACAAATTTGTTACAGCGGTCTAATTCTAGTAGGGAGCTTCGAGACTCACTTGAAAAGCATGTTTGGAATAACGATACCTTTTTTCTGTATCCGGTAACTTGAGATGAATTAAAAGATATTATTAGCGAACTATCCAATAGTACTACATTAGGGCCCGGTACTTTGTGCTCTTGTTAAATTTCTGATTAACTAATCACGTAGTTAAACTAATCATAATCAAATTGACAGAAAAGTAGTGAATGGGTACTTTATGATTAAATTTAACAAAGATTAGTTAATCAATATTTGATTTAAGTTTTCAGTAGTGCTACCACTGTCTCTTCTTCTTTTTATTTATTATTTTTCATTGCTCAAATTTGAGAAAAAATGATGAACATACGTTGTGGGATATTTGTAATGTATTAGAAAGAAAAAGTTTTACGTATTGTGTCGAAGCTTAAATACACATATCAGTTATATAAAGTCTGCTTAAGAAATTGTTGTGGTATTGTTAAGATTTTACTGCTTTAATTAACTGAATTAACAGTATTTAAATGAATTTGCATGAGATAGACGATATTTTTGATGACAATGGTGAAATTATTGATTATGTTCGTAATCAACGAACCTATATCGTTGATGAACGTGCAGACCACATGAATAAATGGAATAATGCAGAATTTTTCAGAAGGTTTCGATTTTCAAAAGAATCAGTTCGTCTTATTCTAAACGAAATAATTGAAATCCTTGATAGGAACAGATTGATGTAAGTATATAATAATTTGAATTTTTTATGTTACAATTATATAATGATTTTTACGTTTTACTTTCTTATAGGTACCATGAGGTAGATCTCCACAAACAACTTCTGTTAACCCTTAGATTCTACGCTACAAGAAGTTTTTATAATGTCCAAGGTAATTTTGCAGGGATACATAAAACAACAACAGGACGGATAATCCAGAAAGTTACCACAGCATTAGTAATTTTACGAGAACGTTATGTACATATGCCACAGACAGAAGAAGAAAAAACAGAAGGATGTGCTCGATGGTCTCATCTTCTTGTTCGCAGAGTCTGGATTCTGACACAACCATGGAATGGAGATACTTCCGTACTTGGCAATGACCAGTCAGAATGCCTGTGACTAGGCGCAGATTCTGTCATAGTCATAGTCAAGCAATCTTAACTTACTCAATCCAACACCACCTATGTAAATAATGCAGAAGGCACAGTTATAGATTGGCACAAAATAATATGATATTTTGAATTGATGGTACTTATTTTTGATATTTAAAAGATGTGTCAGGTATAGGAACACTGTCAGCTATTGATGCTACTTATGTATTTTTGGTTGTAAAAATAAATGCACAAAATTTTGTTAAATAGTTTTATTTGTACAATAACGTTTTGAACACAAACATGTGTTATTAACTAATAATGTAAAGCAAAACATTAAAAAAATGCAAAATTTCGATTTTTAGGAGATTTTCTGAAAATTATTAAAAAAAACAAAAATTTGAAGAACTGGCTCCAGATGAACTGTTTTAACCATTTCCTACACATACATGTTTTTTCACTAAAAATAAAAAATGTAATTTTCTCCTAATCTTTTGTTTAATTCACATTTCAACGGATTAACGGATAATAAATCATATTTTACTAATACAATACGTACTATATTAGTTTACTGGTGTTACCATTGTTTTTTGATGTAGTATCAGAAGATACCTCAATAATGGTTGGATTTTTCACATCTGAATCTCCCATAGACGGTAATCCCGAAATGCATAATTTCAAATGAGCATATAACTGCTCTTCATACCAGAGCAATTTATCACATGTCCAGGTCCACCACCAATTCCATTACAATTATTATTTAATTGGTCATTTTCAATTTTAATGTTCCTTTAATATTATATTTTATTTTCAGTGAATTGATATCTTTATAGTTGTCTATTAAAACTGCTTGCAATTCTTCCCCACGCATCTTTTTTATCCCTTTGGATTACTGCACCAGTTGTTTTTCCTTTAATTATGTATATTTCGCATAGAAGGAATTTCATCAAAATGTTTCATTTTGGCTGAAATTGCTGCCTTTTTTCTTTTTCTCGTCCTTTCTTCTATTTTCTTCTTATAATTACACTAAACACTTTAATAATATTTAACTCAAATTCAACTGACCCAGAGAAAAATAAAAAGAATTTAAAATGTCATGTTGAATGTCAGTGTCCAATATCGAAAGTCACGTTTACGTTTGGAACAAGATGATTCAGAATTCTAAACCATGGAATTATAAGTACAGAGCCAATAATTCTGATTAAAGTTTTAATTGATGAAAAAAGATGATGTTAAATATAACAGAGGCACGCCCACATTTAATCATGATTAAGGTATAACCATTACGTAAAGTACCGAAATTCTGTGTTAAAATTTGATTTTCTGTTAAATTAATTTAATCAGCTCACAAAGTACTGGGCCTAGATGTGTTGGGTACTATCAATAAACTGCTTAAATTACTAGCAGAAGGTATATATGTTCCACTAATGATTATTAATAAATGTTTCACCGAAGGCACATTTCCACAAAATTTAAAAACTTCAAAAGTTTCTCCTATGAAAAAAATAGGAAATGAAAATCGTCCAGAAAACTATCGGCCTATATCAACAGTACCTATAATATCAAAGCATGAATAGTTGGTTAATTTATCTACTTAGATATATGTGTTTGAGCTCAATTTATAGGGCGTGGGTTAGGTTTTTAAATAACTCTAATAACTTTGAAAAAGAAGTTGGGCACCACTATATTTAAAGCTTATACGCTTAACTCTACATTAGTAATAAAAATATAGAAAATCACTAACCACTAACAAATTATACTTATGCTTTAGATAAGGTATGTATCAAATTCTAATTCACATAAGTTTGCACATAATTCAAATTTAAAACAATTTATTGATTAGATCAATTATACTTATCTGTGTGGTAAACAAGGTAATATACGGTATGGTAGGTTAAAGGTAAAAATCAGGTATTTTTTCCTTCGTCTCAAACTGCAGAGATACATCAATCGCTAAACATTATATTGTCACGCCTAACGGTTAGGAGGTGGTGATGATCTTTTTATCGTGTGTATAGGGGTCGTCGCTTGGCTTCGGGAGGTTAAGATAGATAATCACCCACTTCCGCTAAGCGTGCTTTAGCCGATGTTAATCTCAAAAAGTTCAGATTAACTTCTTAGTTTAGAAAGAATCTGCGCAACTTCAGATGAACCTCGGTTAACTTAAATTACCGTATAGTAAACTAGACTAGTAATAAGAGAAACACCTTGTATAAAAAACTAACAAACACTTTATTAACTATCCGTAATTAAAGGACTCAATAGATATAATGATAAATAAAAAAATTGGGGTCCTTACCTCATTTTCAGGGTGCAGTCACAATTGTATTTAAATTATTTATTACCAAAAATATCTGCCTATTTTTACGAAA